TGGGCGCATGATGGATTGTGATCTTCTTGGAGGCAATCATCTTCTTCCTATACCTTGAACCCAAGCACAGAGCCAAGTGCCAAAATGCACCTGATCCTGCTCTGGGAGGGCCAGACAACCTTTCCTGTCTCACACATCCTGGCACTTCCTTAAGGCTATTCCAGGGTATAAGGCCATATTAAAAAAAGCTGTGTCTCATTATTGTTCATTAAACCTCTGTGAGAAGCTGATTCTACTTGATGACAGGCAGCCCTCCTGCAGGATCTGGTGTTAATATATCATTAGAGATCATCTTACCTGCTGCATTTCATGCACTGTCTCCCATCCAGCAGCCTGGGTTTCACAAAGTTCTCCAGAATTGTGGTGAGAGATGAGGCTGCCTGGACGAGTGAGAAAGGAGCTGCTGAGCTGCAGGAAATGCCCTCACCCAAACACTTCCCAGGAAGTGTTCTGTTTGGTTCTGGAAAGATACAACAGGGACCTCAGGACCCCTTGAAGCATAGTTGCAAGCCCTCTTACTTTGATTTTCAAAAGGACTTCCAGGAAGGCTTTGTAGGAATCAGAAACTGCTTGGCATCTCAAGCACACGACTGGAAGGAAAATCAAAATGCTGAGTGAAGTTAATTGACAGTGATGGTTTATGCTTGTGGGACTTCCCACACCAGTCACAGGACCAGCTGCTTGTCACAGACAGACAGAAGGGCACAGAAAGGGCCAAGGAGAGCAATAGTTGTGGAAACATACCTCTGGATCTCAGAAAGCCTCCAAATATTTGATAGATGAGGGTAGTTGCTTGAGAAGAGGTGTCCAAGCTGGAAACAAATGGCAAGGTATAGAGTTATCTCCTCCAAGAGCTTAAATTTGAAACCCTTGGGTTTAAGTTTTCCTTGATGGGAGCACTTCAAGGAGTTCAAGAGGTTCGGGAACACTGAAAAGGGAATTTGCTTGTGCTTACGCTCTGCGTCCAGTCAGACAAGCATTCTGCATGGCACTGAGAGCACAGCATAGGAACTCGTAGGCGTCTCCCGCTAGGTCAGGCTTAAATTCTCCTATGACTAAGAAAGAAGTTAGTAGTCCTCCCCTACCAGAAGGGAAGAAAGGCTGTCAAAGCACCTGAAATTGCTTACATCTGAGGCTCCTGAGGACAGCCCTGGGCAGGATGGCATTGGCTAAGGAATACATGATCTTCCGAACATGGTCTTCCATGATACACATCATGCAGAAGACTTGCTGACGACCTGAGAAGGGAGGGAGGTTTCTCGGCTTAGCAAAACAATCCCAACGGTGAGAAACCTAATGGAGGTCTTGAAGTTCTAAGGACTCTCTGTTCCTCTTCTCCCAGGGTGCTAATGTCCGGAGAAGCCCGGGACATCGTACTGCATAGGAAATGTTCTTCAGAGGGAGGCTAAAATGGCACAGGTTTTCTGTGCAATAAGCCAAGAGGGTTTAACTAGCTGAGAGAGAGACCTAGGGCTTGAAAGAGATGCCTTTCTGAAGATGAAAGCACCTTGACAGGACAATGAGCCAGCAGCGTGCCCAGGTGGCCAAGAAAGCCAGTGGCATTCTGGCCTGGCTCAGGAAGAGTGTGGCAGCAGGAGCAGGGAAGTGATTCTTCCCCTGGATTCAGCTCTGGTGAGGCCAGACCTCGAGTGCAGTGTCCAGCTCTGGGCCCCTCAGGTCAGGAAGGACATGGAGGGGCTGGGGCAGGGGCAGAGAAGAGCAAGGAGGCTGGGGAAGGGACTGGAGCACAAGTGCTGTGAGGAGAGGCTGAGGGAGCTGGGGGTGTTGAGCCTGGAGAGGAGGAGGCTCAGGGGAGACCTCAACACTCTCTGCAACTCCCTGACAGGAGGGGGGAGCCAGGTGGGGGTCGGTCTCTTCTCGCAGGAACCAGCAGTAGGGCAGGTTCTGTGTCAGTGGAGGTTTGGGTTGGATATCAGGAAGAAATTTTTTCCAGAGTGAGTGCTCAGCCATTGGGATGGGCTGCCCAGGGAGGGTTGGAGTCACCATCCCTGGAGGTGTTTAAGGTGAGACTGGGTGTGGCATCAGTGCCATGGGCTGGGAACCATGGCAGGGTTGGATCAAGGGTTGGACTTGATGGGTCTTTTCCAACCTAGCTGATTCCCTGATTCTATGACAAGCAGCTGTTAGTTTGAGCGCTCAAAGAACACAAGCTCAGGGGTGTGTTCTTTCTTTTAAATGCAATCCCAGGTTCTGGGAATTCTTAGGATTTACAAGGAGACGCTCCCAAAAGTACTCACAGGACTGGCTGTGCTGACGAGAGAGCAGGTAATTAGCCAGAGGGGGTGTGTAGGTCAGGCACTGCAGGATGACGTTGACGTAGCAAGTGCTGCCCAGGTTGCGGAGTCCTGGCCCAGGTCTCCGCGTGTGCAGCCAGTCCATGCAAATGTTCTCTGGGGGAAAGAGGATCCTTTGTGGCGGAGTCATTTCCTTGGCAATGACTGCAGAGAAACGTCATTTGAAGAGATGAGACAAGAGGTAAGAGCTCTTCCCTGGGTGACAGCCGGGCCCAGAGGGTGGTGGGGAACGGTGCTACATTCGGGAGGCGTCTGGTCATTGGTGGTGTCCCCCAGGGATCAGTGTTGGGCCCAGTCCTGTTCAATATCTTTATTGATGATCTGGGTGAGGGTATCAAGTGTACCCTCGGCAAATTCACAGACAACACCAGATTGGGTGTGTGTCGATCTGCTGGAGGGTAGGAAGGCGCTGCAGAGGGATCTGGACAGACTGGCATGAGACCAACAGCATGGGGTTCAACAAGACCAAGTGCCAGGTCCTACACTTCAGACAAAACAACCCCGTGCAGTGCTCCAGGCTGGGTTTCCAACCACTCCAGGGGCAGAGTGTTTGGAAAGTGGCCCAGTGGAGGAGGACCTGGGGATGCTGGTTGACAGCAGCTGAACATGAGCCAGTGTGTGCCCAGGCAGCCAAGAAGGCCAATGGCATCTTGACCTATATCAGGAATAGCGTGGCAAGCATGACTAGGGAAGTGATTGTCCCTCTGTACTTGCCACTTCAAGTGCTGTGTCCCTTTCTGGGGCCCTCAGCTCAGGAAAGACATGGAGGGACTGGATCGTGTCCAGAGAATGGCAATGAAGATGGGGAAGGGTCTAGAGGGTAAGTCCTGTGAGGAGCAGCTGAGGGAGTTGGGGGTGTTTACCCTGGAGAAAAGGAGGCTCAGGGATGACTTTGTCACTCTCTACAACCACCTGAAAGGAGGTTGTAGCCAGGTAGGGTTTGGCCTCTTTTCCAAGGAAATTACCAATAGGATAAGAGGACATAGCCTTAAGATGTCCCAGGGGACATTCAGGAGGAACTTCTTCACAGAAAGAGTAATTATATATTGGAATGGGCTGCCCAGGGAGGTGGTGGAGTCACCATCCCTGGAAGTGTTTGAGAAAAGCCCGCACATGGCACTCAGTGCCGTGGTCTGGGTGACAAGGTAGTGGTGTTGAGCCCAAGGTTGGACTCAATGACCTCAGAGGTCTTTTCTAACCTAATGGATTCTGTGATTCTGTGTGTGAGTATTGTTGCTCAGAAGCATATTCAAATACTGAATTCTTTACAGGACACCAAGGCCAACAGCTCTAACCACCAACCCAGAAACATCAGTGGAAGCCTGGTGACATCTACTGGTAGGGACACAGTTCTGGAAAACAGTCTGTTCCCCTGCTTAGTCGGCTGAAAGTCCAGCAAACTGATTTCTGGGCCACAGACTACCCTCCTTTTCCTCTGGAGTCCTCGATTATCAGATTTTACCTTTTCCTGACTGTAATATGATGAAAACAAGTGACACCTGGATCAGTCTGGCTGCTCTCAGGAAATGCCTCGGAATTCACTCCAGATTGTCAGCGGGGATGGAGCGACAGCCATGTCTGGTGTCCGTGGGCATTCACGAAGTCCAAGCCTGCTGGTGAAACCATTACTCAAAGAAGTTGTTCCCTACTGAGGCTATCACTCCCTCAGGTACAGAGGGAAAAGCTTGGGATGACAAAGGATGTCAAGACCTCTTCCAGAAAGATCAGGTCAGTGCCAATCACCTCTTGGGAAAGGAATTAATTGTAGATCAGCAAAATGATTTTAAAAAACCCCAAATGTGACCCACAAAGCACCTCCAGCTGTGAGAAGTTGGTGCTTCCAGCTGCTACCAAGCATGAAGAATGTTTGGAAACAGGCAGGCATACAAGAAGCAATGGAAGGAGCCAAGTTATCCCAATGGCCAGCTCAGGTCCAACTAGCTTTTGCTGGCCCACTCCTCAGGATACCAAGGATGCAGCTGAGGTCACAATCACCAGTCACAGGTCCTGCATGTTTTCCCCTCAAGGCCATGCACATTGTTGGCCCTGTGGCCAACCTCTCACAGCTGGAAGTCATGGACAGCAGGATGCTTTGAAATCCACCTCCCAGGAGAACACGTTAGGGTCTAAAGCATCATTTTGGGGTATAAACTCCTCAAAGCCTCAAGTTCTTCACATCCAAAGCCTCATTTTGAAGGTGCAGAAAAATAATGTCTAGAGTGTACAGTACGAAGATCTAAAAATTAATTAAAAGCTGGTAAATCCTGAGTGATGGAGGAGGAGGAAGGACACTGAACTCCCTGCAGGGAAGCTGCTGGATGAGGGATGCTCACTGGGGGGCCAGGGAGTTGCTGTTTTGACTGAAACCCATTCTTTGGGTTAGAAAGGGGTGAGAAGGGGCCATTCGGGGCAGCATTTCATCACCCTATGAGGTATTATTGGTGTCTTTTGGTTTTGTTCTGCCTTCATAACAGGGAAAATACATCAAATCTCTAGTGCTTCAACCTTTGATTGACTTTGAACACATTTTATCAGCGACTCCCCTGCTCAAGGTCGTGACATCACAGCCAGGGCTCACGGAATCCCTCCCGTTCCTCTCCCATGGCAACAGAACGTGGCCCCCAAACACTGACAAAGAACGTTGACCTCAGTCACAGGACTAGTTGCCAACAGTTCAAGGTGGCCCTCAGTTTGGAAACAACACGGTGCCAGCAAGGAATTCTGCCCTCAGACATGGCCAGGTGCCGCCCATGGAGCATCTTATTTTCCCTGATCCCTCCAGATCTAAGTAAGCACCTTCATCTAGGAAATATTAAGTATTCATCATTATGGGGAAAATTCCAACCCCTTTAAGGGGCTTACTGTAAAAATTATTTTCGGGCTCTGGCCTTCACTCCTGCTCCTTAATTAGTGATAACTACGCTGCTTTGGAACCACCAAAAATAATATGGAATATTTTAGGTCTAATTTTAAGGGCATTTTGCCCTCGTGCCACCTGATGGTGATTCCTGCACCCCCAGTGAGCACCCCCCAGGGTCTTCCTGCGGGGACTGCTGTCCCTCATTGCTGTAATCATCAGCTTTAATTCACTCCTCAAGTGCTATTGCAGAGATCCAAATAGCTGAAAAATATCTTGCTGCACAGATACCCCCCCAACCAGAGAAAGCCAAGGAGGGAAATCTTCATATTTATCATTTTTGAGTGTGATAGTTGAAGATATTTTTATCCTTAGAGTTTACTGAGGTAGTAGAGCAGCAGTAATTTTTCCCTTGATTTTTATTAGTAGTTTCATATTGCCATGCCTCTAAATCCTGCCCAGATCTGAGGAAAAGAGGGGAAACACCCAAAAACAACCCCAAAATCACAGAGTTTCCCAGATGTGCTCATCCACAGGGGTTTGGGAGGAGGCGGCCAGTTGCCGATCAGAGCTTATTATCAGAAAATCCTCAATTCCTGCCAAATCCACTTTGCACAGTGGAACTTTAGGGATAAAAGGGCACAAATCAGGTATGTTAAGGATGAGTTCTTGCCAAGCTGTGCCAGGATCTGGCTACAGGTGCTCCTGACACTGAGGAACTGGAACTGTCCCATGCCAGGTGCAGCCAGCAAGGGTCCCCGGCCCCTTTGGTGAGGTGAAAATGAACCAAAAGCTTGCTGGTTTGGGTTTCAGAGTGAAACCTGAGCTCCAGCTGGGAGAACTGGGAGTGAAATCTATCAGGTAGGGGGATCAAGAACCCCCCTGGAACTCTGGAGGTTCCTGTTAGCAGGCTGACACCCCTTGCAGTAGTGGAGCCTCCTCTTGGGGTCTCCTCTGCTCTGGTCACCACCATCATCATCATCATCATCCCCCCACTCTCTCAAAATAACCTTCTCTCTCTGTTCTTTGCAGCTGATATAGGTGATGAAGACAGCTGGGGCCTGTCAGATGTATTTTGGTAAGTCCCATGATTTGAGGGTGAGAAGGGGGATTCCATTGCCCTTTGATCCCCAGCAGGGCTTCTCCTGTGCTGGACTGGGTCTACCAGAGCCAAAAACCACCCAAGCCATCCTCCAAAAGGGCTAAAAAGGGCTGAAATGTCTTGAGAAGGGCAGAAAACATCATCCAAAGGTCTGGAAACACGCTAGTAGTACAGAGAATAATGATAGTGTGGGAATAAATCCCATTTTTCAGCTATTTTACCCCAAACTATGACTTTTAGGGCTCTGTGCAACACACCTGTTGCCTGTTACCAGCCCCCCTGGGCTGGGGTGCTCATTAGCAAGTCTCTCAAATGCTATTTTGCCAAATGGCTCATTTTTTATTCTTATGAAACTGTTGATAATTGTTACTTTGGACAATTATCAGGGAAAGGGGAATAAAGGGGTGTGAGCAATGCAAGAGGCAAAAACCAGCCTCTGAGCTGGCTGATGGCTCAGATTGGTCATAAAACATCATTATTGAATGACAAATGGGTGTCCATCATTAGTTATAACATTTGCTAGCATTAATTTGTTAATTAGGTTGTGGTGCTGTCTCCTAAACCTTTTCCTCTATTTTTGCAGCGATCCTCAGGTTGTGAATGACTTTTTACCTGGATTCACAAAGGTGACAACTACCCCTCCAAAACACAAACATCCTTTTTTTTCTTGTTTTTTTTTTTTTTCCCCCATAAAAACTGATGGGTTTTACATCAAACTTCTCCCAAGGTCAAGATCTTTTTGGTTTTGAGCTTCTGCCACCGCTCATGCGGTGCAGCCATCTGGGATTTTGGAGTGTTTTGAGCCAAAACTGGGAACGCTCCCGAGCCACTGCCCCACTGGTGGGAAGAGCTCGGTGCTTGCTGGAGCTGCCCCTCACCATTGCACCCTCTTTTTTTTCCCCCCATTTTTTTTTCCATTCTGTATCTAAAGAAAGTAAATCCACTGTCTGTAATTCCAGACTGACCGTGCTGCCGTCCTGGACAGCACAGAGGATGCAGCCAGTTCCGTTTTGGAAGGTACTGGGGTAGGTATTTTTTAATTTCTCCTTGGGAAGCCTTTCCTTTCATTCCCGTTGTTTTCTATGCCCTCAGTGTGTTTTTCATCTATTTCTCAGCTCTGGGAATCCTCCAGCAGCCTCCTGAGTGCGGAGCTGAGCCAGCCCATGGCTAGCACAGGCCTGGCAGTGCCCCAGGATGCCAGCCTGGGGTGGCAGTGGGACAGCAGAGCTGCCACGGTGGGGCCACCCTGTGACCTCCTGCAGCAGTGCCTGTGGGAAGCGGGAATCACGGAGCAGCTGCTGGAGGCGGAGGCCAAGCAGGACCCGGGCAGCTTTCAGCCTCCCCCCCAACTCCAGCCCCTGGGGCAGGTGGCTTTCAGCAGCACCCTGCAGGTCTGCTCCACTGGCACCGATGTCCCTGCCAGCTGCCCCCACTCAGCCCCATGCCAGCAACCGCTCCTCAACAAGGAGGGCAACGTCCAGCCCTTCCCGCAGCACCTCGGGCCTTTCTCCAGCCTCCAGGGCCCTGGTGGGACACTGGGCGTGGGGCCCAGCCAGGTGTGGGGGCAGCAGGTGATGGCCCAGCCAGTGCAGCAGGTCGTGTTCCTCCAGCAGGCAAGTGCAGCCCCTCGGCGTAGTGGCCAAGGGGGTCAGGGACCAGCACCTACCTCCATGTTCACTGCACCTGCCAGACAGGGTTTTGTAGTTCTGGGGATTTTAGCTCTGCGTTTTAGCTTTATTTTTTAGTTCTTTTAGTCCTATTTCTATTTTTTCTTTTCAATTCCTGTTTATTTAATTTCGCTATGTCGCTTAATTCTGTTTCTTCTAATTCTATTGTTTTAGTTCTGTTTCTTTTCCTTTAGTTCTTTCACCTGGGAAGGGGAAAGAGGAACAGGGATGAAGAGCCCAGTCTTGGAACTTTTAGTTCAATCTTCAAGCTCCCACTTCAGACCCCTGTTTTGCATTTTTGGTGGTACATGGACACATTTCTGGGGTTCAGACCCTAAGGGGGGCAGCTCTAGCAGCACCCTTTTCAAATCCTGGAGTCCTTAAGGTTGGAAAAACCTTGAAGATCCTCAAATCCCACCCTATTCGTGCTTCCTTGCGCCTACTGGTAGCAGGACCAGAGAGTTCCTCCCTCTTATGGGCATCCATGCTGAACTCATGCTGTTTGAGGGGTTTAAAAACATGTTTAACAACCTTTTGGGTTGTTTTTCACCCCATCCAGGTGCCGCAGGGGATCATCTCGCAGGGAAAGCAGCCGTTCCCTGGCCCACCCTCCTGTGTCCTGGGGAGCAGCCAGGGGCAGCCGGTGCCAGTGCTGGTGCCGCTGGTGCCGCTGGCCCACGTGTCCCCTGCCCTCCCACACTCTGCTGCCAGGCCATCCCACCACCAGCAGCACCCTGGAGCAGCAGCACCCCGGCACAGCAGCACCCTGGCACCCAAGGCTGGAGGTGCTGAGCTGTGGCACAGCGAAAGCTGCCAGAGCCAGGGGCCAAAATGGGAGACTGAGCTCCTTTGTTTCTTATTTTAAATAAAACTTGGGCTTTTTTTCCATGATAGAACATGCCATGAGAATCTGAAATGGGATTATTTAGTATTTAGGCTTGAGCTTAAGAGCATCCCCTATCTGCTTGACCCTAACCCTGGCCCCTGAAGAGAGGGAAATCTCCAGCATTTCCATCCCCATTTCTATTGGGAAAGGGGCTGTGACCCTTTCAGGGCTCCTCATGCCTTCCAGTAGCCCCTTCAGGTGAGGAGGCAGCTTTGCTGAGTTTGCTCTTTGCTACCAAGTCTGTTGACATTATTAGCAAATTCTTCCACTTTGTTTCCAAGGTTTTCCACTTTATTTTCCCTATAAAGTTTTGCCCTTTATTGCATAGTTTTCGCCCTCCATTTCCCACTTTTGCCCTTCATTTCCCAGTGTTCTTCCTCCAGTACCCATTTCCCCCTTTATTTCTGAGTTTTACACTTTCTTTCCCAGCTTTTCCCCTTTATTTCCTAATGTTCCAATTTCTTTCTCAGTTTTTCCCCTTTTATTTTCAAGTTCTCCAGTTTATTTCCAAGGCTTTCCACTTATTATTTCCCAGTTTCCCTTCATTTTCTCTTCCAAGTTTTTCCCCTTTATTTCTAAGTTTCTCCACTGCCTACATGTTTTCTGCTTTCTTTCCTAGTTTTCCTCCTTCATTTCCCAATTCTCCCCTCGATTTTTAAGCTTTTCCACTTGATTTCCCAGTGTTCCCCCTTGACTTCAACGCTTGCCATCATGAAGAGGAAACCAGCCTTTCTGCCTTCCTCTCCTTTCCATCAAACAGGAAGAATTAATTTCCAAAAACTGGGATTTTCCTGATTTCCACTGGCAACGTGACCCCTGAGGCTGACCCAAAGATTTTGAGAAGGGGCCATCATCTGCCTGCTCCACATCTTCAGGCAATTAACAGTTATATGGTGCAATTCCTCAAATAAACCCATTTTTCCCACCCCTCACCCTCTCCACAAGCAAAGTTGGACGTGCCCAGCTCTGTGCTGAGGCTAAACCTGGGGCTTTGTATGCTGGACAGGTTTTCCAGGATGCCATCCTGCCATCAGGCTCTTCCCTTTCCTGGTTAAATACATCACTAGGAGTGGCAGTTGGGACTCAGGGCTACTCATTGTGGAGGCAAGTGCTGTCAGGAGGTGGTGGTGGCTCCATCCATGTCACCACAGCACAGAAGGCAGCAGTCACTGGTCCCTCAATGGAGCTTTCAGAGGGCCATGTGTTGGAATCCATCCTCAACAAAAGCTGCAGCTGGGATATTCCTGCAGTCACCTGAAAAAAACCCCAGTGCCAGCAGTCAGCATCACGTTGGTGGGCACAAACCATTCCACAACAACTCCTGCCTCAGAAGCACCTCAAAAGCCTTCCACTCTCCTACTCTGCAGCAATTTCAGTGTCAAACACTGCAGCCGTCGTGGCTTCTGGCACTAAAGATACTTAGAGACAGAAAACTACTGTTGTACTTGTGAGAAATCACCAGCTCCCATCACCTCCTCCTCGCTACTAGGCAGCTCACCTCAAATGCTCCTCCAATTCCAAAAGATGCCCACAGAGGGCCTGCAAAGCCCAGGAGAAACGCTTCCCTGAAGTGCTGCAGGAGACTTTGCTCTGAGACATCAACTCAGCTAACAACCACCTCACCTTGGAACTAGCTTCACCACTCCAAAGCCACACATGTCACTCGCTGGCAGACACCTTGACCAGGCCCAGGGTCTTCTCTTCACACAGCCAAGAGCTACTGGTGACAGGCAGAGAGAGAGGAATTCAAAGTGAGAGACAGGGTACAGAATCAAGAAAGGTGGAGAAAGAAATATCCTCATGACACGCTACAGGGTGCAGAAGGAAGACCTTGATTACAGTGACAAGATGCCAGACAGAGAGAAAGAGAGACAGCAGAAATACCGAGGGGCTACAGAGGCAGGGAGGAATGCCAAAGTGGCATCTGGGAGCTGGACAGAGAGAGACGGAGAATGAGAAAATAGTCATGGGCAGAGAGAGGAAGCACCTGGAAGACGAGGACAGGGAGTTTGGTTTCAGAGAGATGGAAAAAGCAGGTACAGGGGAGAAGAGAGAGAATGCAGCGGTGTGGGAAAGGGGAGGGAAAGGGGAGGACCCAGGACACAGAAGTGGTGTGACAGCGTCCTGCGGGCCCTGCACTGCCCGGATATCTCGTTTTCCAAGCTGCCGGGAGCCTCTCCCAGACTCTTCTTTCTCCTCTTTCACCTCCCGGCTCTCGGCGGTCCCTGCGCTCCCGGGCACACGCGGGTCCCACAGCGCTGATGGACGAGGCTTCCCGAGCACAGATCCTCGCTTGCGGGGGGTGGAGCAGCTCAGTGGAGCTCCGAGGAGATGGAGAGGCGACCGGCACCTGCCTCGGGGGGTGTCTGCCCATCCTGGACCCTTCTGCCCCGGGAGTGTCCGTCTCATCCCGGACCCGCCCGTCCCGGCCGCCTGCCCGGGCCGGGAGCAGACACGCCGCTCCCTGTCCTCCGCCACTGTCCCATCCAGGATCAAACTGCCGGCATTTCACCCCAAAGTGCGGCTCTCCTAGCAGACGTACGGGTGAGCTCCAGCAGGACCCTGACGAGGGCCTGGAGGGACAAGATAAAGGGAGTGGTTTCCCACTGCCAGAGGGCAGGGTTAGAGGGGATATTGGGAAGAAATCCTTCCCTGTCAGGGTGGGGAGGCCCTGGCACACGTTGCCCAGAGGAGCTGTGGCTGCCCCTGGATCCCTGGAAGCGTCCAAGGCCAAGCTGGACGGAGCTTGGGCCAAGTCACTCCAAGCCCTAAGAACAAGATGAGCTTTATGGTCCCTTCCAGCCCAAACCATTCTGGGATTCCAGGATTTCTTCAGTGTTGTGCCAAAGCACGCAATGCTCCAGCCAGGACTTGGCAAAATTTCATTAAACTTAACAGCAACCACTTCACAGCCTCTTTTGAGGTTTTCTTTCCTTAATATGAGAAACCTGAAGCCATGTGCCAGCAGGGAAACCTGTCCTGTTGCATGGAAAACCAGCCTGGAGAAAGAGCCAATGAGCGCAGGTGGTGGTGTCTATCCTCCCCCTGCATCCCCCTGCTGAAAGGCCATTCCTTAAGCCCAGTATCTGGGAAACTGATCCTAAACCTGGGACCAGGGAAACTGAATTTGAACCCAAATGTTTCACTGGGCTGCAAGTCTAGATTTCAAAAAGAAAAAAAAAAAAAGCCAGCATGCATAACAACATTCCCCTAAAACAATTGTTTAAATTGTTCATAATTAGTAAATTTTTAAAATTAAAGCTGAAAAAATTTATTAGAAAAAGCTAGTCTTTTTTTGTGATTATTGTTTTAATTTTTGAGAGGAAAAAGGGGTTTTTTATTTTCGTTTTATTAATAGACTTCTATTTTCGTTTTTATTTTATAAATCTTTAAAATTTTTATTTTGTAAGAGAAATAATTTTTGCATCTACGATTTCACGTCTATCTCATCTTTTGTTTCCCTATTTATAAATTCCTGTTTCCAATTTATTTTCCCCCCCCCTTTTCTCCCTCGGCGTCCTCTCGTTCCACGCAGCCCCGCGTGTATAAAGGAACGGGTGGCCGGGCGGGGGGTCAGCCAGATGTTAGGAATGGGAAAAAGGCTGGACCACCCCCCGGGATGACAGATGACGTCAGGGCTCCCTTGACCACCACCCGCATTCCGGTGACGTCACCGGCGCGTGCGCGGCGCACCCCCCACCGCCCCCACCCCTGGCGCGGAGCGGAGGATGCGGGGCCGCAGGTGGGTGCGGGGCTGGGGGGTCCTGGGGGGTGCAGTGAGGGGAGAGGGATTCTGGGGGGCGGGGGGTGGTTCTGTCCGTGCGGGCGGGCCGAGGGGGATGCGGATTTGGGGCGCAGGCGGGGGTCGGCACCCCCGGGGTGCGTGCGGGGGTGGGC